GGGGCACAAGACGCAGAGCTGCTGGCCGGGACTAGTGCATCTACTGACGTGAGTGGGATCAGGTTCCGAGAGACACATGATCCCTAAGGCCCCAAACTTCCCTTAGACTGGCGTTTCTGAAGGGGAGTTTCTCACAGTTAGAGCAAAGGCAATTCATGGCCCTCGCTGTCAGGAAGTACGAGGTAGTGCCGTAACGGAATGGATAGAGAAGTTCAGTCTAGAGAATAACCAGGAATAGGAATCAGTATTTTTGCTTACGCGAGCGTTTAAATTCGGCAGCAGGGGAGGTGTAGTGCATAGACATTACATTACCCACAGGTTGCGATAGCCTAAGAGCAAGGTAGAGAGTGAATACCCTGAGATAGTCGAGGTCTTAGGTGTTCTTGGTCAAAGTATAAGTAGAATTCAGTAATATTAGTAGGATTATGGGTATATTAGGAGTGAGAGGTCTAGGGCCAGGCCTCGCCGGCATTCCGACCGTCGCACCTAGTCCCCGATTGGCTGGCCTGCTCGTACCCAGCAAGGGAAAGCAGAAACTAAATGGGGAGTGATTTCGGTGGACCTTCCATCGGAAGTCCCGTGATTTGGGGATTTTCCCTGAGAATAACAGAAACTTGATGTTATTTAGTTATTTATCTATTTATCCTGTAGACCCAGTGACATTGAAACCACGGGACTATTCAAGGGACAGACGTAGACATGGCAAACGGTTACCGTGTGTTACACGTATATCTAAGCCGAGGAGCACAGCAAGCTGGAAGAGAGTCAAACTACTGAACGAAAGTCTTCCCCAAGAGTGACATACCATCACGACAGTAGCCTGCCGGAGCCTACGTTCATTGCTCTCCCTATTCAAAAGCTAAACTTTTCTTTTACGCTTCTTCGAAGAATACGCAGTGCTGAAGGCGCTCCGCTGCTCTGCAACGCACCGCGCGGACCGTTGAGTGCCGCTGTCCACGGGCGGCACAGCGCACATGTTAAAACACTACTTTTAAGAGGTTCAATTGTTTCAAGTATTGGCTGTTCAAAAATTCCGTGACTCAACAACTTCGCATGTGCCCAAACGTATCTAAGCACCCAAGGGTTTTGCACATGCATGCTTGCGGATGCATGCTTGAGAAGGCAAGTTGGGGAAAGAATATTCTCCCCCTTTCTTCGGAGTATCTTCCACGGGACGACTATTAATTAGTTTCCTCACACGGCAGGTGATGACGATGGAGGGGAGAAAGATGTCTCATTTTGTGTTACAATGCTGTTGCTGTTTTCAGTTGTTGCCCTGCAGCTGATTCTGCTTCTGCTGCTAGTTCTGGTTGTGCGAGTTTGAGGGCTTCTGCATAGATACCCGTGATAACGAACAGAAAACTCATAAATGCTGAGAGAAGAGGAGCCAGTATTTGCGGCGTTCTTTTGGGTGGAGGCGCAGAACCAACGTCGGTGCGGGTGGTGATAGTCGTAGGATTAATGTTTGAGGTCTGCAAATGTACACAATTAACTTGAATCTTGGCATGTGCACCAAAACAATAAAAAGGAAACAAACCGCGAAAGAAATTCTGGACTCCCCCTAAGAATCCCTTTTTCCTTTCCTTCATGACCTGCATTGAGAGAAATTTATCGTTGCAAAGTGTTCGCCTTTTACTGATATGTTTAGAGTTGTCTCAATATTTTTTCTGTCTCACGTAGTTCATTTCCTCCTCATCTGCTCTGTAGAAGGATTCCTTTGCTGCAGCTTCTTCCTCTTGCTGAATTGGTAGCGAGGGCCCAACTTAGAAAGGATCAGCGGCGAGAACGAGAAATTAACTTGCCTTTGTGAGCACTTTGATTCTTTCCACCTGCAAACAGTAGTTATAATAGAGATAAAATTTGTATAAATAACATTATTAGGCGTTAGGCCGGAGAGAATACAACAGAAACCTGAATTTAAAGGGGTTAGATGGATAAAGAAACACACCGGGTTATCCAGGGCGGCGTCTTGACCCTTCAGGAGCTTCATCGCTGCAAATAATACCGTGATAGATTAGCATAAAAAGAAGAAGACGAAAATATAATATCAATTGAAATATAGTTAGAAAGTATACTGGGAATGAAACAACTCAAAACCGGCAAGGGCGCAGTGAGGGGCCATATATATATGCTTAACGAATGTATGCACCATTGTAACCAAAACACCATGAATAGTATACAGTGTATAATATACATAATAATAGAAATTATATTAATATTTATGCTTGGAAAAAAGAAAGAAAACAAAATAGATAAAGCTTACCGTCACTGCCCATCTGCTGGGATTCAACGAGCATCTTTTCGTACAACTTGTTGAAGCTCATCATCGGCTGAAACCCATTTGAAACATTTCGCGTTTTTTCACGCATTTGTTTGTTTCTAGCGCAAATTATAAATTATTTTATTTATATATTTCAACTAACTTTTGGGGATATTATAATTAGAGGGGTTTTCCGAGGCGGAGCCCCTGAAACGAACCCTGGTACAGCACCGGGTGTTGTAGCTTCTGCCGTCGCTCCGCCGACCCCGGGGTATTCTGAATGCAAGAAGAGAGTAATTTTTGTGTTTTTTTTTGTAATTGTTTTGATTTATTTTAATTTATTTTTCTGTTTCTAAAGATAGAAAACATGAACAGGGAATGAGAAAGTGAACACTCACGAATATCTAACTTGATTCCGTGCGTTGATGCTGCCGGCATGGAAAGCTGCGCGGTGTCGATTATGGCTTGACTCCCTTCTCCGCGAGAGTGTAGATGCTGTTTTAATCTGCAAATATAGGAAGCATAATATATAAAAACATACATATTATCCATATTATATAATATATATATGAGTATATAGATACTGTTATGTTGTATTTTTATGTTGTTTTGAGTATTTCAACGCACTGGGCAATCTGCTGTTGAAGTTCGTTCAGCTGCGCGCTTTGCTGTGCGATGATGTTTTCAAGCGAATCTTCTGAGGCGATCAAGAAAATATGCACTTTTTCATAAAAAAAAAACATAAAAAAAGCTCACCTCCATTTATAGCGACACAGAGATATATTAATAGGCTAAAGATCGTAGATCTGAATACCGCCACCACCTGCATCCTGTTGTGCAGCTTCAACGGCGTGCAAAAAAAATCGCGAAACGCACAGGTATTAGTCTGAACAAGGTGAAATCCCTGAATATAAAAGAAAAGCTTAATTTTACATTATATTTACTTCTTCTGAAGAGCAAGAAAACTCGACATTAGAAAGAAGTGCACGCGATTCAACTTCTGCACAGCTGAGCTGCCGATACACCCCACCACATGAGGTCGTATGGAAACACAACCCTACCCCTGCTTTCCTGGTGAGTGCAAATGGGGTTCTTTTCTCTTTCTTTTGCCGTTTCTTTCTTCTGACCAGTTTCTTTGATGTTTCCGCCGCGTTGTATTTGAAACAAACATCCGAATTGCCCAAATAGGCATCCCGTCTAGCCGCATATAAATGCAGGCTTTCCTTGCTTTCCCGATCGCTCAGCTTGAATTTCGTGTTTCTTCAGAGAGGCGTTGGGGCTTTGTGGCCTTTGGAAGCGATTTTCAGCAGGTAACCTGCATTCTGTGCTGTATACAAGAAGAAGAAATTACGGAGGCGTTTCTGCCTTCATACAGAAAGAGGAACTATTGAAGTGTTTCTGCTTTCAAACGGATGGAAAACCAGAACATGTGTAGTATAATTTCAGCGGAATACAAAAACAAAGAACAAACTTTGCTTGATATTTTGTCGATTTCACTCAAAATCCCGTTCTGCTGTCTGGATCGCACGAATGAATCTTTTTATCTGCAAAGCCAACGGACGAAAGAAGAGATTGAGCATCCAAAGGAAACCCCAGAAATGCAAGCAGAAACAACAAGAAGAAAAAGATAAGTAAGAAGAGGTTGTGTTCTGGGACGAAAGAAGAAAGAAGCAGCGCGTGCATAGATCGTCTACTGACTTGAATAAGGTAATTTGCATTAAGTTGTATGCATGTATTGTATTTCGAGTTTCTAGAGCGTAAAAAAAAAGTTGAACAGAAAAGAACAGAAACCCCCGTCAAAAACATGCATATGAGACCTACACTTGTTGCATTCTTTTGTTTCTCGTTATTTTTTTCTCTTTTGCTGTTTCTGCCTTGTGCTGCTTTTGTAGGGGGGCGCTGCAACAGAAGAATGTATATATTTTTGTGATCTTGCTTACAGTAGTAGGAGGAGGAGGATTTATTTCTCTATAGCTCTCTATAAGTATTCATATAAAGTATTCATATATACTTGTATTGCTGTCTATAGTAGTAGAAAGATGCAAATAGTAATGTTTTCTTTATACTTGTGCTTTTATCTACAATAGAAAAAAGAAAATCATCCTAAGAACGACCTGGCTGTATATAGTACGTTTCTAAATACTTTTTCTGTTGCTTACAGTAGTAAGAGGGAGATGTTGATAGTAACGAATTAGCTATATATATATATATATATATATATATATATATATATATATATATATATATATATATATATATATGTATATATATATACGTGTGCTTTGCGTAATGATAACAGAAAGGAGATGGTATTAGTAAAGGCTGGTATATGTAGTATATTTGTATATAGTTATAATAATATATTTTTGTAGAATTCCTATTGTATTATATTTGCCTGTAGTACTAATAAAATATTTACTAAAGATGTAAATTTCCTTTGTATTTTTATTTGTATAGAGTACTAAGAATACTATAGTTTCCTCTTGTATTATATTTGTATATAGTTTCAATCATATATTTACTAAAGATATGAATTTCTCTCGTATTATATTTATCTATAGTTATAGTAATATATTTACTAAGAATATAAATTATATTTGTATATTATTTTTATATAGTTATAGTAATATATTTACTAAGGATATAAATTTCTCTTGTATTATATTTATATATAGTTGTAAGAATACATGTACTGAGTATATAAATTTGTTTTTTTATTTATAAATGAATATATTTATATTGTTTTCCTCCCACAGACAGCCAATGAAGATTTGCATTTTATATTCGCAAATCTGAAGAGGGAGGAGCGAAGAAGAAATCTTTTTTTATAGATTTCCACCGCAAGACCTTCAGTGTATTTTTGCATTAAATATAAATATATAAGTATATAATATATATATAAATATATAAATATATTTAAATTTTATATTATAATACATTATATTTATATACAGAGATGCAACAAATTCATCATCAAGCCAATGCAAACATATCAAAGACTCCACTCGCGACGTTTGGGGCCGCTAGAAAGAAGAGCGCCTGCAGCTGAGACCTCAGGGGCCTCTTCGGAAGAAAAACGAAATGTACGCGAATATAAATATAAATATAAATATAAATAATAATAATAATAATATAAATATAAATATAAATATAAATATAAATATAACCAATGATATATGCTGGTATACACCTTCATACCTGTACCATTCAAAAAGAAGAAAAAGAAACTTCCTCAGCAAACCGGCGAATTCAACTGAAGAAATAAATCCCATAGAACCGTTTCAATAGAAGAATACAAGAATATATAGAATACGCGGTATATATATATTATATATTATATATATTATATATATTATATATATATTATATATATATATATATATATACACTCGGACGAAGATTACCAGTTGCCGTTCATGTGGCTGTCAACTGTACGAGCTACAACCGCATAAACAAAAAGATTAGGAGAAGGAACGGTCCTCACGACTCTGCGTGTTTGCTCCGCCAGTCTGTTTGGTAGTCTGCTGAGGAATTCCTGTGCGAGAGATTCTTCTGTTCTTTTTATTTCTGTGTTTGTACGTTCACACAGCCGGGTGTACGCATCATACAACAGCCCCAATTCAACATAAAGTTTTAGGGCCTTATGAGGGGGGGCCCCCCGAAGCTCCCGCCGTAAGAAAGCCTCTGGGTTTCCTAGACACAGTAGCCGCAACATAACTTCAACTAATGTTTGATAGTCTCTCTGGCGGCCAGGTAGGAGCATTTGCATTCTTTTTCTGTAGAAATAGCGGACCGTTCCATCCATCTGGCCTTCAGCAATCTCTAGCAACTGATCTTCTTTATTGAATCGACGAGCAAAACTCTCAACAGAACACAAAAACCTATCCACCTCTAGATAAGAAACGGGAACTGATTGCAAGCGGCGTACGTGTGAGAGCGCCTCCCTCTCTAGCCGCGATGAAACACCACCTCCTGAGTCCCCAGTTATGGGTTCCAATACACCTTCAACAAATACTTCTGCGGGCGGAATTTGGGCTCCTAGACTCGAGCGGGAGGAGGTTGTTGAATCCTGAGCTGTACGTACACCCGAAACCCACGTACTCGCGTTCACGTCCGCGTCCGCCTGCTGCGCAGAAAGCTCCATAGTCTGGGGAAAAAAAGCATCTCCTAGAGTATTTTTTCCTGTTTTTTCATTCACAAACATGTGCATCAGCTGATTCGTCAGGTTTTCAGGCGTTCCTGGCGCCTGCCGCGTATACCCAGCTGCGGCGGTTTCCTTGCGGGGGGTGCCGGCTGCCTGCCCGATGCCAGGCATGTTTAGGGGCGACGATGCGCGAAAAGAAACAAATAAAAGTGTATAAAAAGTCTACGTTTATTCAAACAAAGATATCAAACTCATAAACAAAGAAAAAATACACCTGCAACACCAACACAACACACGAACGAGCTAGCCTAGGTGGACTCTGCCTGCTGCCTCTCTGCTCTACTTCTATATACACGACGGCGGGAGCAGCCAGGCGATGCACGGTATGCGGGGATGAAGCCTTCGTGTTATATTTGGTAATTAACACATATTTTTCCCTTTTTTATTGATTTAAATCTATTTATTTTATCTTTATTTCATATTTTTTCTCCTTTGTTTGATATTTTTACGAAGAATTTACCCTACCGAGCACCCGCACAGCCAGCTCGAGCCCGGAGCACAAGACGATGCAAACAACCAACCAACACGGTGTGTGTGTGTGTTCTTTGTAATAAATAACTTTATGTGTTTCTTTCTTTTTTTTTCTTTATTTTATTTATTTATTTATCCATATAAACCCCTTATAAACATATATTTCTTCTTTTCTTTTTCTCTCTTTTTCTCTCTCTCTCCCCTTGCCGCCCGGATGCTATGCAGGACCGGCCCCACACAACACCGCAGCGAGGGGATCGTCTCCTCCAGCGCAGCAACGCTGTGCATACACCTGCTGCAACATGTATTCTGTGTTGCCTCTGTCTCTCCTTCTTCACTAAAAAACATATAAATTATTTTAATATTTTATAAGGCCTCAGCAGCACTTCTCTCTGCAACCTCATTCCTTCTCTTTCTCTCTCTCTTATATATATCAATCGATGCCCTGGTACCCGTGTGCTGTATCCTCTTCTCTTTCTTTTTATTATTTTTTTATTTTTTTTTATTTATTTTTATTATAGTTATAAACCACTCATATTTTCTTATTCACATTCTCTATGCTGCA